CTGAACAAGCTAAGATTGGACACTTTGGAGCTCAATGCCATAGAGTATCTGAATGAGAAGTAACAGTATTTGATGAATCCATAGCAGAGTTGTATCAAAGTTTCAATTCAATGTGAGATCAAGCTTACCTACTGGATAAAGTAAAAACTGCAAAGTTGAAGAGTCCATAAAAACCTAGTCACTTACATGAAGGAACTGGAAATTATGTTTAGGAAAGCTACCCTAATATAGTATTATAAAATCTGAAATACTTTGTGACAAGTTCACCAAGGATCTTTTGAGCCACCCATGCATCATCACAAATGTCAGAAGCTCATCTCTAACTGAAACCATTTCTGTGGCAACACAATTTAACACATTTATAATGCTTTTCCTTCTTAAATTTTAACATGTTTATACCAGGTTAACAAAATAATTCTGGCAAGATTCATAGAAATACAACTTCCTTACAATCATGGATAATAAACATAAAAAAGTTAGCAGCTGATGATCATCACCAAAATTAAACTTGCAAAACACTACAAGAAGCTAGCAGGGTTCTGCCCATGAGAGTATAGGTGAAGATAAATGTAGTCTGGAGTTGTGATTGGCAATAAAATGTTAATAACATTTGTTAAATGTGGCTAATTTGCATACAAAAAAGTACAAGAAATATCAGTTTTGCACAAATTTTGATTTTCTGTGCAATACATTTAATTCAAATGTCCATGGACTCTCTCTCTGTTATGAATTTGCACTTTATACATTGACCATGAAAATTACCAGGCACTCAAACATTCCAGGGTAAGGCACTGTTTAAGTATCCTAATATTATAGAATTTTCAAAATGAGTTTTTCAAATGAACAATCTAATATAAAATGTAATGTTTAAAACATAGTGCTTCAAAACAATTTTGAATTGTAATATGATTATAAGCAAAGCTAACTGATCATTCTGTGGGGAGAATCCTGTCAGGCCAAGATCACCAGTCTGCAACAAGATTGAGAGCACACAAGATATGACAAGCCAGCAGGAGAACATGCTGGCTGTGGGCCCAGAACAGAAAATTCAATGTGTCAATACAGCTAGACTGAGAACAGGAGCTTCCTTGTCAAGTGATGCAAGAGATCACAGTCGAGTTGTACAAATTTGCCTTCAGTACTGGAAGAAAATGATCCAAAGGCCAATGAACAGCCAGGAGGTTCAGAAGATTGATATAGAAAACTGACTTGACCAAAGACCAAGGTATCTCAAATGTCCTAATATGCCCTCCAACATATCAGAAATACATCTGAAAAAAAGTGTTAAATCCAGTCTAGGAGGTGGAAGAGAAACCCCAGCTTTGGTGGTGTCTCTGTCCAGCCACCAGGCAAAATTGGAGGAAGGGAGACAGAGGGATTTTGGAGATACCTGGCAAGGCCCCATTGATCATGTAAAACCCATTGGAGAGCACTTGTCAGCACGACTGAGGGGAATGAGGGCCTCTAAGGAAGTCCAATTCTCCAAAAGAGAAAGAACCTCCTGCAAGGGAAAAGAAGAGGAGGATCAAGTCTTCTGAACCAAGAGCTCCACAGACCTCACTCGAAGAGGAGAAGGCTTGGCCTAACTAAAACTAGAGTTAGGTGAACGACATATTGAGTCAGGGTAAGAACGGACTTCTTCACTTTTTCCAGCCAACCCACACAAGCAGCTTCTCTGAGAAAAAACAGTGTGTTAGAAAGAAGCTGGTAGAGAGGGAGCTAAAGGAAGTTAGATGTTCATGGTTTTCAAACAGAAACTTAGCCCATGAGAATGGAGCAGACAGGCAAAAGCCTTGCCCAACCCAAAAAAAAAAAAAAAAACAACAACAAAAGGAGCCAAGGACAGACCAAATGGAAAGGCCTGGAATTGATAGATACAATCCTTGTGGACAAACCTAAGGTACTGAGAGGATGCAGAGGGTATGGGGATATGAAGGCAGTAATACAACACATTGACTTTCATCATTCAGAAACATGGAATGAAAGCCCATAAAAGTGACAGGAAATATTCCATGGTAAACCAAGGAATATCTATGTAGAAGTTCAGACAGAATAAGTCTAAGACTGAATGCCAGTCCCTGGTCTTCTTGGGGACAATGAACAACTAGGAACAGAACACTTAGAAGGGATTGAAAAACAGGTTCTATAGTGCCCTTGAGAAGAAATTCATGGACTGCCTCAGAAATATGCTGGCTGGAAATGGGATCTCGTGGAGGAGGGAAGGGAACAGGAAAGGATGATAAGGGAGGAGAGATGAGGAAACAAAGAGAGAATCCTTCTGACAAGACCTGAAGAACCCAAGGACCCATGATAAAGGTCTGCCAGAGAAGGGTGAAATAGAACAGCCTTGCCCCAACTGTACCTGTACTTACCCAGTAGTCACCAAAACCATTGGTGGCATGTTGATCAGTGGTGCATAAAAGTATGGAACAGGCAAGGAGCAGGGGAAGGTTGAGACAGACAAGTGGCTAGGGAGAACATGGAATGATACAAGTGAGCTGAAACCAAGGAATCAGGTAGACCCATATGCAAGTCCCACAAAGATGTGGGGGGTAAATGCACACAAACTTATCCAAAAGATCCCAAACACAAAGGAGTCATGTGGCAAAAAGGAGGGAATGGGCATCTACTGAAAATCCCTCAGGAGAATGATGGATAGCCTCAGACAAGAGGTAGTGAAGGAGAGTGGTGAAGGTTAGAGAAGGTGGGAGAACTGAACCTGGAAAAAATTAACCGAGGTATCAGGATCTTAACCCCAAACAGGGATAAAATAATCCAACTGCTGAGAGTTGAGGAAGGGATTCTCAGAATGATGAAAAGCCAACTTGTAAGCCTCAGAAGTATGTGAGGGATGAGAAATGCTGATCCCCGAAATGAGTGGCATGAAACCAGATATTGGAAAGGCATGGAAAATCAAATAATTGGAAGCAGGCAAGTCACATAAAAGGGAAGGGGAGGGGTCATACAACAAAGGGGAGAAAGACATAGCACACACCCGTATCACTATGTCCAGAAAAGATGAAGGTCAAGGTGCATCTACTGGTGTCGAGCAAGACTGCACAGAAAGAAAAGAGGAAGAAAAAGACTATCCAAATCCTTCATCTCACCCAGCCTCCCACGGGGCAGGGGAGAACTGGTTAAGGTTCAGGAGAACCCTCAAACATCTTGAAAGATTCTAACTTTTGTTTTTTTGTCTGATAAGGGCCAAAACCTCCTCAGCTGATAACATTGAACCAGAACCCACAGTAACTTGTGGTTGGTCAGTGGTATGGAAAGCAGTTGAAGATGTAGTAACATTAAACTGTGAATTCATCAAAATGAAACAAGTGGGTAACCCAATGCAAATGAACCACCTTGGTTGCAAAAACAATGTCTTGGTAAAGCAAGAGATTTTTTCTTTCAGGAAAGGAACTCAATTTGTAATAAATTGCAGAAAATTGAAGTTCAAACTATTTTTTAAAAAGTTCGCAAAACAAGAATCAAAAGTGGCGAGCATTACAAACAGTTGAGTGCCAAATTGAGAAGTGAAGATTGGGTTCTACAGCATAAAGTGAGCCAGTTGTGCTAGGAGGGTGTGTTGGATTCCTACTGGTGGAGGATTGATGCACGTTTATTTGTATATTACAGCATAGCTGTACCATGTCAATAAACATGGAGGTAGGTGGGAGTATCAAGGCAAGTGGTGAGTGAAAATTAACAAAAAAAAGAGGGGGTAATAATAAAAAATTAAGGAACAAAAGTAAGGTACTTTATCATAATTAAAGGTCTGCCATATGAGCTATCTGAAATTCAACAATTTTCAAATGATAAAAATTTAGATTTCTTGGACTTGAAACCGAAGGTTAATTCATTACTCATGAAAAACAGAACAATACTTTGAATAAGTTAACAGATACTTTATGCCACTGGCTATCACTTTGCCAATCTTTTATTAATTCTCAAACTTTATTCTCACTAGCCACTACCATTTTCTTTGTAAAATATAATCTATAATATAAATGATTAGTAGCTGTCTATACAGTTTCTTTTTAAATCAAGCATATAATCAATATTGTACTAAGGTGCACATAAGACCTTAAGCACCTACAAATTTCTTCATAAAGAGTTTGTTCTCCTGTGTATTTATTAAACAGTATAATTTGTGTTTATTTTTATTATATAGAATAATTTTTGACAAGTTGAACAAATAAACACTATCAAACCCAGATGTATGAAGTTCTTAAATCTTCAATTTTTAAAACTTTATGTTACATTGGTGAACATGTTTTGTATTTTTAAACTAGGATATTTGTTTTCTTTCTTTCTTTATGATATAAAGACAGGAATCTCTTTACCAAAAACATCAAATGTGGTTTATCAATCTAATTGTTCTTGTGGAAGATCATGCAGATTCAGGGACAATGAGCAGATTGAGCATGTCTTGGTGAGTGTGATAGTTGTCTATTCAAATCATTTCAAGATTTCTATTAAAGACAATGACAATAAAGCCTCAATATAAAAAAACTTATTCATAACCTATGTTTATGTTATAAAAACAAATACATCTGTCTACGTTTTCATATTGTATTTATGTTTCTAGAGTTATATAGAAAAAAAAAATTCACTTAGTTCTTAGATCTCTGTAATAAAGTTAAGTCCAAAAATGGGTACTATAAATTTTTTTCATCAAAGGTGACAAGCACCTAATGATTGTTGCTTATAAACTGGTAAATTTTACTCATCCAGGATGAATGCTTTTTTCACCATAAGCAATAACATCTGAAGCAGCTAAAAAGTCTTATCTCCATTGTTTATGAAAATAAAACCCTATGGCACAGGACCATCCAGCAGCCTGAATAATCAGTATAAATTCCATAACTTTTAGTAAGAGATAAAAAAAATCCAGATTACATGCTACATGTCAGAATTAAATTTGCTATGAAAAAGTTATCAAATTCTACAACTGAAAATCAAGTTCAAAAATAAAAACTGTGCAATGTTGAGATTTGTATATATTTTACCTGAAGGACTTCTAATGTGATTGGGAGCTCCTGCAAGGATTTCAAAAGATCCAAAGCTTGATCTTGTCCCTGAAAGAAAATGAACATTATACATAAAGTTACAAGTAAGATCTATCATACCAAAACTAGTAGCGGACTACAATAAAACAGCAACTGAACTTACTTGAAGTGTAAGGTAAGTGTAATTTAAAGAATGTTGTGTACAAGGTCTTGAACTGGCTGCTTTGTACAAAATGTATAACTTCAAGAATATAAGAATGTAGTTAATAGCACTATGGTACATTTATCCAAATGTTGATGCAAGTTTTCACTATACAAGACTTCCACACTTTTAATTATTTATCAAGCCTTTTCTTGAACTCTTCCAATTGTGTTGCATCTTCCAAGTCCAAAGGCTGACCATCTATTCCAAAGTAAAATCTGCAAATGATTTCCAGTCTGACAAACCTTAGCCCCTCTATTCCACCATTTTTCAAGAAAAAATAATATTATGACCTTTAACCTGTCCTCAGATGACAGTCTTCCAATCCAGGAACCATCCTTGTTGCCCTCTTCAGAACCCTTTCCAACAACTCAATTAAGGTAAGAAGCCCTAGACTGAACATAAAACTCTAAATGAAGCCTAACCATGGATCTGTACATAAAAATGACAACTTCCTCTTACTAGTTGGGCAATTTAATTGAGTAATCAACAACCTATGAGCAGCAATTACATCACTAGTGTCTTGTAAACTAATCATATAGTGCTGCTTTATGTACATAAGTTTTGTATGGAGTTCAAATGTGTGTGTGTTTTTGTGTGAAGTGCTCAGGCACTGTGTATGGTAGGGCCTTTATATTTGAGACTTGGGTTCAATACCCACTGCCACTAAACTTGCATGCCTTGTCTTTGTTATTGTAAAGCTACTAATGCTATCTGCCACTGCCAGTAATTTCGAACTGCTAAGAGGAAATGAAACTGGTTGTTAGCACCCACTGCCAACTCTCTGGCTACTTAAATGTTGAATAGTGTGTAAATTTACTGTTTCTAAATTATAATTACATAACTGCATTCTTGAGTGTTGTAAAAGGTGTGGATCTAGGGTAGGGGGATATAACCCCCCCCCCCGTCCATTTTCTTCAGGGCTTGATTTTAATGATTGTCCAAGATGACTAAAAATTTCCTCAGATGAACAACTTAAACCCCTGCTTTGTCAAACAGACGACTAGCACCCTGGAGTAGGACATTACTCAAACCAGCATTGCTGTCTACTGTACACTTTTCCATTTCCACACTACACAGGTAATGTTGACTCTGATCCTCAACCAAAATCATTTGTAAATTCCCTAACTATAAACTCAAAAATTTTAACCCACACAAAAAAATATCTGTTTTCTGTTTAAAAAAGATTGTACTTTGTACAAGATAAATATCTGTTTTCTGTTTGAAAAAGATTGTACTTTGTACAAGATGAATACTGGTACAATCCATCAAAAGAGACTTAAAACATTAGGAAAAGTTCACTTTTGTGATTCACTAATAATGCTGTTTTAATTACTAAACTTTCTATCATGGACAGGCTGTGCACCTCTGTGCTGCTTTATGCACATACATTTTGTATGGATTTCAACTGAGTATGAAAGGTGGTGTGTGGTAACACAGTACAGTGTATACAGCTCAGTTAGTTACATTACCACATTGTGCTGTGTGATGTTTGTATGAATATATTTGAACAGGCAAGAATTTGAAATGAAAATGAATGCCAATAACACAAATATTTAGCGAGATTAATTTCTAGTATAGATGCTTATGACAATAAAACTCGCATAGCTGTCTCAACTTCTTATTGATAAACCTTTGGTAAGAGCTAAAATGATCAAATTTACAAAATCAAACTCAGAATTTTATCATTTCATGTCAGTTGAAACACTGACCCCCCATTTGATTTAGCCTAATGCTAAAGTAAAGCATACACGACCAATCGAATTTAGGAAATACAGAAGGTCTAGCTACCATGAGAAAAGTATGAAAATCCATGAATTAAACAGAACATAATAATGATAACTACAAACAAAATTTTATGAAGGTTTTTATCAGTACAATCAGAATAACAATAAATAAAATAAGGCTAGCTTTGACTCTCTCCAGGTCAATACTATCACTGGTGTGTGTGTACACATGTGCAGTGCTCAGGCATTGTGCACCTATTACGGTATAGTAGCAAGTGTGAGAGTTACTATGCAAGTGTAGCCTTACTACAGGATGTACTTTACTATACTTGGCATGCAGGCCAAGCTGGTTAGAATGAACACATTGAACGTGATTAGCCAAGATTGCCGTTCTGTTTGTTTCTTTAAGATACTATGAAACATTAGAATGGTTTGGACTTATTTTTTCCAATGTAACAAAACTTCCCATGAAATAAGGCATCAAATAAGATTCAAAATTGCCAAATAAACATTAATTGTACTTTTTGGAAATAAGATATAAAAACATCAAAATTCTTGTTATTGGGTCTTTGTTCATCAATATTGTTGAAATTGGATCTTTTTTTTTTTGAGGGTTTATGTACTTTTTTAAATTGTTTTTGCAAACCAATATAGCCTTCCAGTCAACCTCTGATACAGGTCAGGTTGTCCACAAGACAACCTGGAAATTTCCTTAAAATCGAGCCCTGATCTTGGGGATGGGTTTTGGGGGGGTTAACCTCAATTTTTTTATAGAATAAGTAGATATAGATCTAGGGGGTATAAACCCCCTTACTTGTTTCAGAAATGTGTTTAAAAAAAACCCACCAGACATCCTTATACTACAATATAGTATTGAAAAGAAACATTAAATGCAAATATTTGTTATTTGATTGGGCTATAAACTAACATAAAAGCTTTCTTGAGGTTTTCTGAAATCAACACAACTGAAGTCTACAGCCATCTATTTGAGGCCTCCACTAATAATTGATTATTTCTAAGCTAATATAACAATATAAACATCAATTAAGTACTGTCAAGGTAAATTTTTGTGCCTTGGCTTTATTCCAGAAACTCTGGCAATATGTCTTGCACATTAGAGATTTGTTTTCAAAGTATTTTTTGGATACCTGCAGCTCTTATAAAGTGAACTTGCTACAAAATGGATTTTTCATTGTTCAGAAGTTAGAATTTTCTTGAGAAAGATGTTTATCATATTGTTGATGTCTAAAATAGGTGAAAATGCAAATTAGGAAATAAATCTGTTACTTTTTTTTGTTTTAGAATAACTGCAAATTGTAACAGGAAACAACAAATGTTTCTTCTAAATAGCTTAAATCTTTTAACAGCATACACCTATTTATATTTATTAATCTTTTGCTTTATTGACCTATGAACTGTGTTTGACTAAAAATACACACACACAAGTTGAAAATCATGTGTCACATCTTGTTACCATATCAAATAGCATAATGCACAAGCTGCCAGTGATTATACCTCATGAAGATTTAAATTATTATTTTTTCATTATCTTATCTAATAAGTTTCTATTTTTCACATTTTAGTTAATTTTATAATAATAAATAGTGAAAACCAATAAAAAACAAAAACCTCATATTTAAATATTAAACATTTTGTTTTTCAGTAAAGCTATGTATTTTACCTGTCATCTTCTCTACTGTAACATTATACTCCATTCTCCGGATTGTAGATAAGTAACAAAGTTTAACAAAAAATAAAGGTTGCAAAGTGCAAAATAAAATATATAGTGTTGTTAGTACTGATCACAAAATTTCAAAGTACTTATGCTCAGTGTTTACACTTCTCACAATTATTTTTTGTAGTTAATCTATTGTTAGGAGATGACTCAGAAATTATAAGAAACAAAATGAATAGTGATATCCACCTTTTTCGGTATGGATAATGAATTTCAAAAGTAAATCTCCTATTTATTCTACTGTTAGTGGCTAAAATAGAAACCTAACAAATATAAAGCAATGAATTTTAGAACACACACACACAGAACATATCAGTTACAAGAAAATAATGTCCAAAAAGATTATTTGACTTTCTAAATAAGATAAAGATAGCTTAAAAAACTATACATTGCTCTGAGAACAGAATAATCCTCATACACAACCAACAAATCTTGCTAACTATGGCTTTAAGAGGGGATATCAAAAGAAGGAATTATGAAAGCTCTATAAAGGAGAATCTGCTCTTTCTATTGGTTATAAATATGTTCATTTGCAATGTCCAGATACTTATTTACAGTAGAACCTCAACATTAAGGGTGCCCTTTCAACTGAATCCAAATGCCCTGTATAAAGCAAGGTGCCCTTAATATTAAATATAAGCCACATAAAGCTTATATTTAAGCCACATAAAGCTGGATTCCATATTTATCATACTAAATTTATGAATTTTAAGGTCCTCCATTTTGTTTGGTGTATGCAGGACACGAGTTGCACATTGCCAGGACATGAAGTGTTGTCAAAAGGAGAATCTCAGGGGTTGGATTAGCTGTGCCCATTTTTCTTTATTATTGGTAACATAGTTTCAAAGTACTTCTCTTCAGAGTTTGAACTGCTAAACAATTCACATTTATTGTCTGTGTTTCTTATGTTACTGTTAACAACTGAAGTAGAAATCCACTGAAAATAAAGCAACAAATCACCGCTTGTGTCATCAGACTTTACGTTACACTGCAATAGGAAATCAGATGAGAGTTAATGTTAAATTAGTATTTTTTAATTAACTATCCAAATAATCAAAATACTGCTATTATGATTTCTCATTATCATTTTTGATTAATTGAAGGTTGTTCAGCTTAAGTGATTAGTGTCATAACTAATACAAATAACCGACTAGATAAAATAAGTATTCTTGATTAATACTATTTTCAATATACTTTAACAATTCAAGTCTTATGTGAGAATAATTTCTTAGTTGAAAGCAACTGATTAATTAGCCTAATGTGTAAGTGATTATAAATTTTCACTGCCCAGCTCTACAACAACTGTGTGCAGTATGTTTTGGTAGTTTTAAACATTGCATTATAATAAAGCTATGTACATCTCCCAGTACTGTTAAAATTATAATATACAATATGACATTGCAAAAGCTTGTTAGGCTTGTAAGTAAACCTCAAATTCAAAGGCTATTTTTATGGTAAATATTGATCAAGAAATGGAAATTACAGAAATCCCATTCACAACATATCTGTCAAGTTATGTAATGCATTTCCAACAGATTTTTATGATTAGGTCTACTTTAATTTTTTATTAGAAATCAACATCAATGATACTACATGTTATCTGGATAATGGAAAAAAGGCATGGACTTAAGAATAATTAAAGGTCAAGGCACTGACCCCTGAGGCACTAATAATAAGGTTCACTGGTCTTCATTCATATAAAAGTTGTGCTTTCTCTTATCCAATTTATTAGTATTTTCCCAAACCTCCACCAATATGATTTTCTTGGCTAACCTTTTTTGTGGCATCTTATAAAAAAGAATTCTGAAAAATTTAAGTACTCTAAATCCACACCCTTTCCATCATCCACATGATATATATAATGACCTCAAAAAAGTTAAAAGATTACTAAAGAAAGATTTGCCTTTATAGATTTATGTTCTTGTTGTTTTTTTTATGAAATCCTATTTCACAAGGTTATTTTGCAAACTTCTTTTACCAAATTCTCCAGAATTTTTGCACTTTAGAAGCAAGACTAAATGGTATATAATTTCGAGATCAACTCTTATCAACCTCTTTTGAAAATATAGCCAACATTAGATATCCTCCAATCCTCAGGCACCTGCCACTGTCTACACCATGCTACCAAACATGAGGCTTGCACATTTAATCTTTATCCTCCTTTATAACCCTTGGAAGAACACTGGACAAAGAGCCTTGCTGGCACTGGTGGTTGACATACTACTGTATATTCATCTTTGCTTTTGCTCACAAGTTCTCAAAATTACTAATACAGTTTTCTATCAGTGACACTGTGGCTACTTGACTAGCTCCAGGAGAGTGAAAAACTAACTGGTTCACCAGTTCTTTTCAATATAGTAAAGTTAATTCAGGTAAAAAGAATATTAGATAACTGTATATAAAACAAATAACTAATATTGTGTTATTAATCCTTTTCCTAATTCTAATTTGTAAACGGCTTAAGTAAAACAGTAATTTATGAATGCACTTCACTTACTTGTGTTCACACCATAACAATTGTTGTCCATGTAACTTAAGGTATACAGTGCCTAGGCCACAAGCAGTATTATGTCTATTGTATCTCAGCTGGCTTGATGAGCCCAGGTAATAGTGGTATTAGGGTAAGGTTTTACTTTTACTCAGTTTTAGCACTGTACTATTAATATTAGTGTATATGTCACATGTATAGTGTGGTTGATATATAATTGTATATTTTTTGCTCTCAGCCATAAGTTCTTAGAGTTGTGAAGTATATTACTATTAGGCCCTATTATAACTGTTATGTCAATTTGAATCACAAGACTTCTCAGCGTCAGTAATAGTAGCGCAGTATCAGTATTTCAGTCACACTGTTACTAGTGTTAGTGTTATTCAACGAAGTTACTGTGTAGTGTGTGTGATTTGTCTAGGGTTAGCTATCTTCAATGGTGGAATCCAGAAGACTGTAGAGTTCACTACTGAATAAAAGAGCATGCCCTGAAGAAAAGCTTACGCTACGCTTCTCAACAATAAAATAAATCGATAAAAAACAGAACAATATTTTCGAAAAATTAACAATTATGAATCAACGTACCTGAGCACCACTAGCCACCATTTTGTCAAGTTTTTTTGCAATTTTCAAAACTTCGTCCTCACAACCCATTGCTATTTTCTTTATATAGCAAAATCTGCAATATATATTCCTTCTTTCTGTCTATGTTTCTTTTCAAATCAAGCAAACGATCGAAAAAGTACTAAACCACTACAGTAATTATTAAGTTAGAACTCGCAAAATTAATGTTACAAAAGTACACTCAAAACATAGTTTAGACCCTTTTCTCCATCAATCCAAGTCTCTTCGTTCCAGTGCGCTGTATTATAAAAGATGCCGTTGCTACCTAATATTAATCTTTACGTGCACATTGCCCCCTAGTTGCTATTGTTGTTTCTAAAACCGCGAAAGTTATGATGCGAGAGAAGCTTATTGGATGATTTTACTTTGCCCGCTACAGTATTAATAATTGAACAAGACATGTTACCAAGATGTATAAGTCATGTATTAATACTATTTATTATCCACTTAACATTTCATGTTATTAGTACAGAGTGAAATATGAACAGTTACATTCTTAACAATCACAGCTTTCTCCATATATATATATGATGTTAAATTTGAAAAATTATATAAAATGAAAACTTTTTTAAATAAAACATGCGAAAAGAATTGTGATCAAAATATTGTAATTTTAATAAAGCTAAGAATGGTTTCCATGATTTTGAAATCTATTTTTAAATCTAAAATAAAAGGGCATGTCTGTGGGTCTGTGTGGCACCACTATAACTTCAAGAAGCTTTATAACCTAGAAGCCTTAAAATTTGCACACATACTAAGTGGGCCCTGAGGGTGTGCACCGGTGTATTATTACTTATCCAAGTGCATAGGCGCATGCATCTTTTTAATAAAGCAAGCTAGCGAAAGAACACTTAAAAAAGGAGTGTGTCTGCCATATCTCCAAGGGGAAGAACATATACACCTGAAATTTTGCACCCATACTGGGGGTTTTCACCTGGATATTACTTATCTATCCACATGCATGCACATCTTTTTAATTAGGCAAGATAGCAAAAACCACATAGAAAAAAGTGGTTCCTTATATTACAAATAGAAATCAAAGAGAGACAGACCACACGTGTGTGTGTGCGCACGTGAATGTCTGTGTATATGTGACTGCCATAACTCCAAGAGGAAAGAACCTAGAATTCTGAAACTTTGCACCCATACTATGTGGACCCTGATGGTGTTTACCTTGGTATTACTTGTCTTATCTATATGTGTGCGCACATATGCGTGCACATCTTTTTATGTGAAAAACCACATAGAAAGGAAGTGTGACCACCATAGCTCCAAGAGCAAAGAAACGAGAAACCTGAAATTGTGCACCCATACTAAATGGACCCCGAGGGCGTGCAACTGTGGATTATAGCTTATCTACGTGTATGTGCATCTTTTTATGATGTAAGCTAGTGAAAAACCATATAGAAACGAAGTGTGACTGTTATAGTTGCAAGAGGAAAGAATCTAGAAACCTGAAATTTTGCACGCATATTAAGTGGACTCTGAGGGTGTGCACCTAAGTGTTACTATTTATCCACGTGCGTAAGTACGTGTGCGAGCGCATCTTTTTGTGAGGCAAGATAGTGAAAAAACACATAGAAAAGAAGTGGTTGCATATATTACAAATTATAGATATAAATTACAGACAAATAGATAGACATGCACGAGTGTGCATCTTTTTAATGAGACAAGTTAGCAAAAAACACATAGAAAAGATGTGGTTCCTTATATAACAACTTCTAATATATATAGAAAAGTCAGTGTAATTTGGTAACAATTCATTTCAACAATGGCTCTTATATCATATTGCTTAGCAATAAAAGTATAACCTAATATTGTTTTTAAGAGGCTATGTGCTGAAAGTATAAAATGAAATACATAAACTACAAAATTTGAAAAAATGCATTTGTTGTTTTCTAATTAAGTGGCTCCATTAATAAAAGAGGTTTGTTTTTTATTATTTGTTTTTATTGTTTAAGTTTAAAATCAGAGGAAAAGTCAGAGGGAAGGTTACCTTTATAAACAAGCCACATCTTGTAAAGGAGCAACAAAAGCATATAGGTTGTACTTTTATGCTAAAATAAGTTCAAAATACACACACACCGACATAATTATCTAGAACAAATCAACCTAATAACCCGAGCGAAGCTAAGTACTTTCACTATTTTATAATAATAATAAAAGGGTGTGTCTGTGTGTGACCACCACAACTCCAAGAGGAAAAACCTAGAAACCTGAAATTTGGCACTCATACTATGTGGATCCTGAGGGAGCACACCTGGGTATTATTGCTCATTCATGTGCGTGCGCATCTTTTTAATGAGGCATACTAGCAAAAAACCACATAGAAAAGAAATGTGATCGCCATAGCTCCAAGAGGAAAGAACCTAGACACCTGAAAATTTGTATCCATACTGAGGGTGTGCACCTGGGTATTCTTACTTATCCATGTGCATGCACGTGCACATCTTTTTAATGAGGCATGCTAACAAACAAACCATATCGAAAAGAGGAAAGAACCTACACACCTGAAAATTTGCAACCATACCAAGAGTTTGCACCTAGGTATTATTACTTATTCACGTGCATGGGAGCATGCGCGTGCACATCTTTTTAATGAAACAAGCTAACGAAAATCACATAGAAAAGAATATGTTATCACAATAGCTCCAAGTGAAAAAACCTAGAAACCTGAAAATTTGCACCTGTACTAATGGACAACGAGTGTGTGCACCTGTTAATAATTACTTATCCGTGTGCATGCATAATGAGGCAAGCTAGAGAAATACCACATAGAAATGAAGTGATTCCTTATATTACAAATAGAAATCACAAACAGTCAGACATGCATATTTTTTATGAGGCAAGCTAGCTAAAAACTACATAGAAAGAAGTATGAATATTGTTACCAAGGTTTTGATATATGAATGAAATTCTGAGGTACTATCAAGTCAAGAATAATCAGCAACATCAGTCGGAACATTTCAGTGTACCAACAATATCTTCTTAGTTGTCAAGTCAGTGAATGTTATTTCTCTCCACAATAGCAGAAGCGACTTTTTGTTTGATGGTACCAGTTTTTCTTAAACAGTGATTATACTGTTCCTTTTAACAATATCTGTACTACGTTTTTGGTGCATCAGTGACATTTTCTTAGCTATCTAATAATGACTATAGTTTTCTTAACAACATTTAGTATGAATTTTTGATTTATCAATGACATTTTACTTCTGGTTACTAAATCAGTGAACACTGTTTTTCTATACTGTCACAATAATTGTATCAAACATTAGTTAATGTTGTATGTCTTTATATTAGAAATAGAAATTACAAAGAGACAGACAGACAGAAATGCACGTGTGTGTGTGTGTGTGCGGGCGCGCGCATGTGCATGTCTGTATATGTGTGACCACCATAGCTCCAAGAAGAAAGAGCCTAAAAAAGTGAAATTTTGCACCTATACTAAGTGTACCCTGAGGGTTTGTACCTCGGTATTATTACTTATCTACGTGCATGCGCGCATCTTTTTATGCATGTTTGTGTATGTGTGACCCCCATAGCTCCAAGAAAACAGAACCTAGAAACCTGAAATTTTGCCCTCATACTAAGAGGACCTTCAGGGTTTGCACCTGGGTATTATTACTTATCTACGTGCAGACGCACAGGTGCGTGTGCATCGTTTTACCCTATCGCCCTGGGTATCCTTTACTGTGCATGACACAAGGTTTTAGTGTTTTACATTCAAATTTTTGTTATACTACTTTTTGTTTATGTTATACCAATTAGAATAGCATAACATCTTAGCTAATAATCCATATTTTAATATTATACAAGTTTTGTGTTCTGAATTCTACAAGGAAATATTTTTACAAATCCTGAATTTCCAGTAGTGTGAACCACGTGACACATTTTGTCTTAGCATGTCATCATCCCTATTTTATCCATCACCCCTCAAATAAACCAAAATTTTTATAGTTTTCAATTTTGTTTCGTTACAGGCTCGGCATGGCCAGGTGGTTAGAGCGCTCGACTCGCAATCTGCGGGTCGCGGGTTCGAATCCCATTAAACATGCTTGCCCTTTCAGCCGCGGGGGCGTTAAAAAGGTGACAGTCAATCGCACTATTCGTTGGTAAAAGAGTAGCCCAAGAGTTGGTGGTGGGTGGTGATGACTAGCTGCCTTCCCTCTAGTCTTACACTGCTAAATTAGGGACGACTAGCGCAGATAGCCCTCGGGTAGCTTTGCGCGAAATTCAAAACAAACAAAGCAAATCGTTACAGAGCTATCAAATAGAAAATCAGATCCCCTCCTATCACACCGACCTGTTACATCCTCTCTTTCACAATTCGTTGATAGTTCTCTCTTACGTTTCATTATATATCACCTATAACCAATAGAAAAGTAAGGTTTTCATCTATCTAATGACGTATTGTATAACGTTGTATTCTGTACGGAATATCTTCAATTTCTCTGACAATACAAGATTCGTTCCCGTAGGAAAATTAAGCACTAGCTTGGATGTATTTGTAACGGCTCTTGTCGCACAGTTAGAAAACCAGGAAAATTTTGAGAGGTAAGTGAATTTGTTTACTTTTTGCATATTATTAGTCTATATTCTTTGGTGCATTATTTAATTAACTAAAATTTGTTAAGTACATTACTATAAAAGGTCAGGCTTAACCAGTAGCGTGCAGAGGGGGGGGGGCGAAGGT